GCCCGATCGTTATATCCTTCCTTATGCTTCACTTTCCTCTTCTTTTATGTCTATATTTGGTTCCATTAAAAAAAAAAAAAAAAAAAGAAAGAAAGAAAAAAAATACAACCATGATATTGTCGACGTAAAGTTGTTATATTTTCGTATAAGGGAAATATGGAGCGGTAAGTTTTTCAAGGACAATAGTTCATGTTTATTCGAAGGAATACAAAAAAATGTTTATTTAATAATTTAGATTATATATAAAATAATGAACTATATATAACAATTGCATTGATCGAATCTTTATGAGATTTTGTATTACTTTAATTGTAATAATATCGATATTGTATCAGATTTGTTGTATCGTCACTGTTCATAATTTTAAATTATCGCTATACATCGAGTTCAATTTTTATTGGCTATAATTATAATTTACTATTTTTAAACGAACGTAAAATATTATGAGGATATATATATATATACATATATATATATAAATATATTAGTTCTTAATACTATAATCTATACCATGTAGGCGATGATGCAGATCAAGAATTAATTTTATTTCAATCTAATAAACGCGGGTAAATTGGCGCCATTTGCTTTGTATTTCGTCATAAATTTTCTTTCTTCTCATTGGTAGTTTGGTAGGACGTAATAAACTAAATTTTTGTTTTAATTTTTTAAGGCAAGGTTTCTTGCTACTTTTTTTGTAGCTTTTTTTAAGCATTGTGACATTTGTATTTTTATTAATTAAATAAAATTTCAGAATTAAATTGTAATAAATTATGAATAATTTTGTATTGATTCACTAGTAAATGCATGCTCGCCTTTATACGTATGCTATCTATGATTGGATGATTTGATACAAATTCTAAAATGCATTTAACCTATCAACATTTATCGTTAATAAGATATATATCTAATTATATCATATCATATCTATAAATGGCAACTAAGTATACGAATGTATACCGTTGTTTATTGAAAATGAAACAAATTTTGTTTATATCGCTAATTTTGAAGGAATATATGTTTAATAAAAAGGAATAATGTTTTTAATCAAATATGTTATTATAAAACTATTTTAATCTTTAAAACTTTTTAATGATATACAATTCATGAGAATTATTAATATATATTTAAGTTATTTTTTATTTTTGGAATAATATATTCAAATTCATTAAATAAATTATGCAAACTTTTATCGAATTTTATGATCGATAAAAATATAAATTTCGTTTTTTGTTAATGGAAATATAAAAACATATCCGTGTTAATTTTTAATAAGTTTTATACGATATTTTATGAATCGTGCCGGCCATTGCGCGGTCGTGTTTTGGTCCTAGAAAGATGGCTGACTCTTGTTTTCACGACTCTTTGTATGGTATACGGTATTTTGAAATATACTACGAAAGTTAATGTACTGTGCATCGAATAATATCATTTATTTGACATTACAATTGTGTTACATTTACAGACTGAATTATTTGCTTCTTGTATTCTTTAGGTTTACGTCAATAACGACAGCTTAAGCGTATCGGTATTGCAAGCTTTAATTTTATAGTTTCTAAATGATTTTTAATATCTCATTGTTTGTGTATACAAAGGAATAGTGAAATTGAAGAGCTTCGTCTAATTGAGAAGATGAATAGTGATTTAATAGTTAATGTAATTCTTGGCATTCGATGTTGATACATTAGCAATACTATTTGGTTAGGTTGATGTGCTAGATAAGCAACTTATCTATGATACCTGGATGTATGTTTTTGTGTTCCTTTCGGTGGTTCATGTTAAAAAATGCTATGACATTAAATTTTTGAACTATCGAACGAGTTGATGATTCGTCAACAAAATGGCAACAAGTGATTTTGATGTGGAACTCTTTGAGCGAAGACTTCATACATTGAAGGATTCACAGGAGTCTATTCAAAGTCTTTCGACATGGTGTCTTGAAAGACGACAACATCATAAGAAGATTGTTGCTACTTGGCTTCAAGTTTTAAAGAAGGGTGAGTTAAATATTACATTGAATCTTTTTAAATCATATATAAATATCAAATTTTTTTACATTATATTGTATGCATTTGTGTGCTTGATATATCAAAATATATGAGCTGTTAACAGAACAAAACAATATACTCCGTTTTAAGAATGTTTAAAAATTTTATTAACAAAGCAATTGATCAATAGTTAACTTTATATATTTAAAATTTCATTAATAATTAGACTGAGTAGCTCATATGTCTCTGTATATTATGGTGTATTAACCCTTTCAATACAGTTTCACAAAACCTTTACGCTTTTACTACATAGATATTTATATCATGAATAAAGTTCTACTGTATAAATCAGTTATAATGCAAACATTTTACTGCTAAGTGGATAAAAGATGGAATATTACAATATAATACGTTTCAAAAGTTTCAGATCTAAAACATTATAAACCAATGTAAAATATTAATCGATGACTATAGTTACTAGTATTATTGAAAGGGTTAAGAAATGTTACTATTTATAGAAATGTTAATTCTAAATCATTAACAATGTGATTTTTATGTGATAGTAAAAGTAGAGCACCGTCTTACGCTCTTTTACTTGGCTAATGATGTCATTCAATACTCCAAGAGAAAAAACTTTGAATTTGTGGAATCTTGGGGCACTACGCTACAACGTGCTACCACAATGGTTAGAGATGAAAAAGTAAAACATCGTATATTGCGGATATTTAAGATTTGGGATCAGAGACAAGTATACGATGAGGAGTTTCTTGCTGATTTATCGGGCTTAATATCAGCTGCCCCAAAGAAAAAAGCAGAACCGCAACCTGCTACAGTGCCAGAAGAATTTCAGGCTGCATTATTGATTTCGACTATGAGATCTTGTGCGACTCTGGAACAGGCAACAGATGCTAGATTACGTGATTTAAGAGATAGTAATATAGACATAGAAAATGCAGAGGAACTTTGTGCATCTTTAAAAGATCGAAGACGTGTTGAAGATGCTGAAAAAGAAGTTGATTTGGCAGTAAGAAATGTTGAAAACTATGTGCGTGCATTAGAGGCTGAAATTGGAGAAAGAGCTCAGGTTCTTGAATTACTCGATCAAGCAGATCAATTTTATGAAACTCAACGGAGTGAAGTTAAAATAGTAACAAATGTAAGTAAATTTTATCAACAGAGAAATGTTCTGTTTATTATATAAAATAGAAAAACAATTCAACAGGTTTTTTATTTA